GTTTCAAGAAGACCGAACATGGACTCTACTGACGAATAATCACCACTGTTACTCACTACAGAGTCCCACCTGATGAGCAGGTCAGCGACCACCTTTTTCCAGAACTGAGCAGACTGAGAGTCAAAGAAATCGCTGACCACTCTTTCAACGTCTTCAATTTTGGTGTATTTTTTCTTCGCTAGGAATGTCTTGAGGAAATGAAGTAAGTGATAATCAGAGAGGGCAATGTGATGGGAATAGGGAGGGTGAGCAATCGCGTCTCAGATCAGCTCTTCAAATTTTGCACGGGTCTCTATGGCTCATAATTCCAGAATCAATTTAAAAGTATTACGTGATAATGACCTGTTGAAGGCAAACCCCGGGATTACCCCGACTTCGAGAGAAATTGTAAAGTTACCACCTACCTATATCACTCCAGCTTCGCCGCAAATCTTGCGCGGTCAGAGCGCTAATCCTTAAGAGCCTGTAACCATCGACCTCCGTTGCAACGCTTCCCACCCGTCGCGAGGGATGGTGAGATCAGCGTGCATTGATGTGGAGATCAACGTGCTCTCACAAACGACGTGCTCTCTCGCGCATTTTGTTTTATTTGATTGTCCTTTCTCGCTATTGAACCACATCCGACCCTGTTGAAGGTCGAAGCTTCAATTTCAGCGTTCCCAAAGTTTTGCTTGCTTGTTTTTCCACTTTCAGGCTCCGCAGCTAAGCTATCACTGCGAAGCGCTCTTGACACCAACTTGATCTCGAGATTTGCCTTTAAAGGAGGATTGCACGGAAAGAACGAAGGTCGAAGAAGGGAGAAATCGCCTAGTGGGGAGAGCGGTGAACCTCTTGAGGGTGCGGACAGACACGCAATCGGCATCGAAAGATTTGACCTCTGAGATCTAGCATGGCTCAAAGTTGGCGAGTTCGGCGATCTCCTCTCACCGATCGTCTGATCACTCGCCGTAGTACAATAGGTGGCGAGTGATTGGATAGCTGAGATAGCGTAAGGTTGAAGAGGGCAAAGCGGTGAGAGTCCCATCAATGCTCAACCAACGGACAAGGAAGGGGTCTCATTTCTCCGGTTCTGGGCCGTTTTTCGTGATTTCGCTTTCTTTCTGGCACTACTCACCATCTCTACCTCAATTTGGAATGGGTTGCTTCTCCATCGTAAATTCGTCCTTTAACGTAAAGTGTAGTAAATACATTACACAATTTCTGTAACCTCAAAACGGCTTTATTCGCATAGGGCATTACCTTCACTTTTGTCCTTCTTGTGACAGCGTCCCTAACTACGGTGCCACCCAGCGAGGGCGAGTGAGTGGGCGGTCGTTGGAGAAGGTGCCTTCACAGAGCGTGTGAACATAAGGCTCTGCCGCTGAAGTATCTAAGGTTATGTTTTATCTATTTTCTCTTCTACCCTAGTTTTCTGCTGAGTTACGGCGCAAGATACTGCTAGTGGAGCTAAGCAAACCAGGCACTCTTGTCCACTTGCAGCGTGTATTCACACCACTTGCTCCGCTCGCGCGCTACCGTAGCCGACGCCTTTTTTCGGCGATTATGAGCTCTCCGGCTCGCCACTGCCTGGTGATTATGAGCTCTCCGGCTCGCCACTGCCTGGTGGAACGGTTCGCGAAAAACTTGTAGTCCCCTGTTTTGCATCATTTGCGTGTAACAAGCTATTCGGATGCTCCCATTGAACTACTACCTCAATGAACGGCCTTAAATAATTACCCCCCAAGATTTCCTTTAGTTTCCGTTTGACAGATTTGAAGACATGTAACGCGCACAAAATCTTCTGTACTCTACTCTGCGGAAAAATGATATGCATGCGTTGTAAAACAGTAGTGTCGTCGGTCATAACAAAACGCGAATCGAAATGCGGAATCAATTTCCAAAATGGGCGCAATGTGGCTCGGAGGGGACCGGTCGCCTCGCGCGATTTCTGCCCATCCGCGCCCTGTAGTACTAAGCCTGGAAGTGGGCAGGAACTTTAGAAAGATGAAAATTGCTATAATCCTGGAGTTCCGCCTCTCCTGCCCGAGGCTTAGTTCCAATTTAGCGAGGAGGAAATGCTTACGCCGAAAGACGCAGAAATCGCACGCGGCGACTGACCCCTCCAAGCCACATTGCGCCCTAAAGGAACAGTCAACTCTCTCACGCAACCCGCTGTTTCGAGACCATACCTTGACTGAACCGAACAATATCGAAACTTCCTCAGTAGTCGTAGGATATGATTTTAATAAGCAGCATGGAAATCCTCTTCCTCCGTCGTTTGAAATCGTTTGAAACTAGTAAAGAAACCGAACGGAAACGGAAGGAACGGCATGTAACATCGAATGTATCGTCAAACACCAGTGCGTTGCAGGCAAATCTTTCCAGAAATTTTTTTCCGCTCCTCGTTAGAGAGGTCAAAATAATCACTGATTAGACACAGTTGCATGCGCTATATTTCTCTGGCTCGGTTACCAAGAACGAAACCATCGCCCGTGGGATTGTTTGTTTTCCGATAAAAGTAGTCCACTATATCGGCTGATGTTCGCAAAAGCTCCTCCAAAGATGACAGAGCATTTTTATGGGTCCTTCCTTCAAGCAGCCCTCTTTCTTAAGCGAGATGTCTGAAAGGAATGCTCACGGGTACAGTAGAATCAGCACTTGAATAAGAGTTGTCAAACATACATGATATCTTTTGAACCTGTGTAGCATACGCGGGGCTGCATATTGTTTTCCAGTTGAGGGTCCCAACGATCGGCGCAGAGGGGTCAGACATGAAAAAAGGAGAGTCTCATCCAGTAAGGGGGCATCAAGGGCTGCCCTCACCCCTACCCCCACCCCCTAGACTGCCTACACTCCCACTGGTGCACCGGTTTCTCGAAGTACGGGACCGTGGAGCCAGGGGGAGTGAATGCAGTAGGGGGTGGGGGTGAGGGCAGCCACTTGACGTTGCATCAAATGCACCCTCTTACTGGTTGAGACCCAAGAAGGACTCCACAATCATTGGTCAAACACAAGAATTCCCTCACAACCGCAGAAAAAAGGCGTCGGATACGGTAGCGCGCGAGCGGAGCATGTGGTGTGAATACACGCTGCAAGTGGACAAGGGTGTCTGGTTTGCTTAGATCTTGCTAATGTGCTCTTTACTGACCTCACTACCCCCTACTACCGATCGTGACAAATACGAGCCACCTCGACCGGTATTCCCTGCTTTTTAGTATGTAGGCTAGTTAGCACACAGATTGCACTTTCCATCACCATTGATCAACTGGATAGTCAAGAAACTGTGAAAAACGGTGCAAATGAACTCCTTGCTATCCTACCGCAGTACTAGTGAGTACTTATTTGCGCTTTTTAACACTAAGGATATGACAAATGGAGATCGAAATGACTTGCAGTGGCTTTCATATGGATTATTTCCAAATACAGGAAGCCACCTCAAGTAGATGTGAATTTTTGCTTGCTTGCTCTTTAGAGCCTTGTTGCAGGGACATCGCTTGCCGAAACTGCCTAATTGATGTCAAAAAGTGTATTGTGAAGATTTCCGATTTTGGTTTATCGAAACAAGCGGAAACGTATAAGATACCTGACAAGGAGAAGCTCGCAATCAAGTGGTACATCGACAGCATAGTTGTTATTGGTTGTTCTTAATTTTACTGCATTTCAGGCAGGCCCCTGAAGTAATTCTAACCAGGACATACACAATGAAGTCTGATGTTTATTCATACGGTATACTTCTTTGGGAAATTTTTAACGACGGCGCATCACCATTTTGCGGAATCAAAAATAAAACAGTCGGCTTGAAGGTATGTACAAGGTATTCATAAAAAATATGATTCATGAGCTCGATGGGAAAAGAGGGGAAACGGCACGGATTCGAAACCACTAACGACTTCAGCTATGCTGTACAGCCGGAATTGGCAGCCTCACCTCAAATGCTACAGTCCTGTTATGTGCGCACCTTCTCAGCAAAACTCACCTTGATCCGGTCTTATAGAGGTCCTGCCTCCTTTGATAGTAGGTATATTTCCGGTTCAACAACCACCAACTCTCGTGTCACGCGCTTTTCTGCTTGCCTTTGTTACTAATTGCAGATAATGACCTTGTTTGATGCTTAGTTATGAAACGATGATTTTCGGCTGATGAATAGAAAAAGGATAAAGCATTTGCCGTCGATCAATCCCTTTTTGGTATGCGGCACGCATTCTACTTCCATTTGGTCATTAGTGGCGTTTGAATGCGATGTGTCCTATACAATGACTCGGGGCCAGCCGATGTACAAGTCAGTGCTTTTTATCCTCCCAGACAAGTCTGGTACCAATTCACCGACCCCAGAAGGATGGAAGGCTTGGTTGTCCTGGGCGACTCACGACCCAGGATTGATCCCCGGACCGCTCGCGTGGTAAGCGTGCCACTTGCCACTATACCCCTTCCGCCCTCTGTGCTCTTGAATAGCCTGTCAATTACTGATCTCTATTACACATATATTTGGCCATAGAATACCGTTTATTTATCTCATTACGCATATTCATACACCCCTCGCTTCGAAAAATCTGCACAGCAGACGGTGCCTGCACTCCATCTTTCCAGCGAAAATAGGTTTCTGTGAAGTTTGACATATAAATGTTTCAGATATCTGACCCGAAATTTCGCCCTGTTATCAGTCCTAGCCTTCCTGTTCTCGTTGTGAGAGTGATGAAGACTTGTTGGAGAGGAAACCCACAGAAAAGACCAATAATGGCGCAAGTGGCTCGCTACCTCATCCACGCTCCTCCTGAGTTGTAAGTACTACCTACCATCAAAGAGCAACATTGTGCTCATTTCTTTACACATCAAGAACAGTTTGACGTTGACGTAATGTGCTCAAATGTAGAGGATAGGTCGGTATGGCCAATTGAGATGCGGTGTGAAACAAAGGTGCTTCCGTACGCTGAACTCAAACTAGAAACTGACTCACTACATTTCTTCTGAAGATTCTCTTGACAGAGCCACAGCTTCACAGATGCGGACCTCACAAGCTCAACACGAATATATACAATTTCCACGTGGAAATGGACATCGTTCAAACCAAAGTTGCTGTTCCAAAAATGTGGACATTTTTCAGTCCGACCAAGATTTTTCAAATAGCTCAGGAAAATTTCCAATTCGACTCAGATTTTTTTCAAATGACAGTGGACATGTTCGATTCAAAATATACCCTATTCATATCAAGCTGAATGCCCACAGATAAAGCATGGAATCCTTCATTCCTGAACTTGAAATCTTCGAAATCTTCTCAGCCATCAGAATATTGTTCTCGAGAAACAAAATATTCTTCTCAGCTACCAAAATATTAGGTTGTCTCATAATTAGTGTCGCTTTTTTTCAATCAAAATTTTTCTATCTGACCCCATGCTGTTACATCGAGTCATATACCATTCGAGAGGGAATTGTCTGCTCTACAAAAAGCTGTGTTCGTCTTCCATCTATGTTCCATCGTTTTCAAATTATAGGCCTGCGAAATGGGAGGTCCCGCTGACAAAAATTGACCAAACCGACAACTAGCTCTGACTTTATTTTCCCTGCAGAGAAATCAATCAATGACGTACCCTCTACTTACTTATGACCTCTTCTGAATATTCCACCCTTAGGTTGCTGAAAAAGGTTTGCCCTGCTGATAAGCCAGGGCAATTCTCAAATTGAAATTCTTCCTCTGAAACGCTATTGTTTTATATCAACTGGTGTATCTTTTGTGGGCACTTCTTCTGCTCTATTCGCTCATTTGTTTTTATGTTGGAATTAGTTCGAATTTTAGGTGTCTAGGAGTAAGGTGCTTTATCCACGAAACAGGCCGCATTTCTTTGAAAAAAATAATCCTTGAGAAGACGAAAAAATCAACCAGGCGTGCGTTCCTAACTTAGTCATGACTTGTTCTTTAAACTGTACTAGTTTTTCAATGTACCGGCTATAAAAAAATTTCGACCTCGATCTCAGGTAATGGTGCTCGACCGTCGAGTTCTGGTTGACAACCAGGTCTGGAAATGGAATGACGCGACTTGTTGGGGAACCTAACAATGTAATGTTTAGAAGAGGTCATGCATAAGTAGAGGGTAAAGTATTGATTGAATTCTCTCGAGGGAAGATAAAGTTAAAGCTAGTTGTCGGTTTGGTCAATTTTGGTCGGTGGGACCTCCCATACAGGCCTAAAATTTGAAAACCATGGAACATAGATGAAAGAAGAACACAAAATCTTGTAGAGCAGACAATTCTCTTTCGAACGGTATATAACTCGCTATAAAAGCATGTAGATTTCGATTAAATTTTTTTTTGGTTGAAAAAAAGCGACACTACTTATGAGTCAACCTAATAGTATATTTTCAAGTGAGAGGTATGCGAGTTCTCCTACAGTTAAAACACAAAGAACACAAACCAATCCGTTCAATTGTCAAAGGGTTGTCTAGCTCCCAAGGTAGTTAAATTTACCATTACAACGAAGCTCACATACTCCTTCTCCGTTATCTATACTTTCTACACTTTCTTTCTTCTTCTTTCTTTCTCTCCTTCTTGTCACAGACAAGGAGCGGAAGCGATACAAGAAAATCATATTTTAAAAGGACCGCTTACTCAAGTCAATAGAGTTTCCCCTCTTTTTCGCTTTCTCTCACCGAAAGAGCTGATCTGTGTCCATTGACTTCGCACGCATACCTCCTGACCACGTTTGGCGTTTTCGTTTGTCAACGCATGCGTAGTGATGTGAGACAGAAAACATGGCGAAAGGACAAGAAGCCATATAGCAAAGGTAGTGAAAGAGTGGGGAAGATCTCCCTGAGGTGGTGTGCTGGAGAAAAAGGCCTGCTGAAGCAGGTTTCACAAAGCTAATTTGCCTTTCATTACATGGATTTTCAACTTTTGTTTCAGGATTCCAATACTAGCACATCCGCCGTTTTAAAATTAAGTATTACTGGGAAATATACTTCGCCTTTCTCGGAGACGTGTCCAGTTTGACTTGGAAAACGCTCATTATGCTTTGAAAAGTGTCCTAAGCAATTGAAAAAAGCCGGGTTGAAATGAAAAATGCCCACGGCCCCCTGGAAAAAAATCCGGGTCGAAATGAAAATTGCCCTCAGTTATTTGAATATTGTCCACTTCTGAGTGGGAATGGTATATTTTAGGAACCATATGCTGCTTGGGAGTGGGCAGGTGACCCAGTCAACATGCTGATCTTATTACTGCAAGGTCACGGTTTGCGTCTTTAACACGTTGACGACGATGCTACTTTTGGCTTTTTGGCCACGCTTGAGCGGGGCGACTTTGCGAGCGCGGCCGCCTCAGGTCGTTCAAGCAGATTTTGAGTAATAAATACATAATTAATGATAAATACAAAATCAGATCAGTAAACTGTAATGAGCACAACCTACTCAGGGGTACAGTAGTGGGATTTCGATCGAAAGGCATAGAATAACAATAAAAAAGCGAAATTTCTCAGAACTAGCTGCGATCTTCTTCTTCTTATTCTTCAGCGTTTGTCCCGCTTATTGGCGGGGTCCGCTTTTCTGATGTGCTGTCGCCACTCTTCCCGACTGAATGCTTGGTCGAGGTGGATGTTAACCAATTTTAAGTCTGCGTGCAACGTATCGAGTCAGCACTGTTTCGGGCGTCCCCTAGGCCGCTTTCCATGTACGTCTATGTTGAGGCCGAGCGAACACTCACATCATTTCCGCGAAGAACGTGGCCATACCATAACAGCAGGGCCCCCCGCATTTTATAAGCAGTGGGGGCTACACCGAAGCGTTCCCGTATCACATCGTTGCGAACGCGATCTATTCGCTTGACACCAACTCGTACGCGCAGCATCTTTCTCTCCATTACACCAAGACGAGTTTCAGTATTCCTGGTCGCTGGCCAGCACTCAGCGCAGTACAGTGCCGCTGGTCTTATGACTGTCCTATAGATCTTCGATGTGAGGAGTTCTGGGATTTTCCTATCACAGAGAACCCCCGTTATAGAAAACCACTTGGACCAAGCCGCACTCACACGCGAGTTTACCTCAGTGCTCATACTTCCATCAGACGCAACTGCTGATTCAAAGTACTTGAATGTCGTTGTACGTTTCAGCTCTATTCCACTTATTTTGATAGAACCGCACTCGCTCGCGAAGGTTGTCAGGCACTCAGTCTTCCTAGCGTTCAACCTGAGTCCGAACATCGCTAGGAATCGCACCAAGCTTTCGCTTGTTGTTCGAGTAAGTTTTTGTCTTCGCAGGCGAGCATCACGTCACAGCGTAGAGAAACATCCATGAAGCCGGTTTCTAGAGATCTCGTGAGATGGCATCCATGACGACAACAAAAAGAAGTGGGGAAAGCGCAAAGTCCTGATGTAAACCAACAGAGATGGGGAATTCCATTGAAACGCCGGCTGACGTTTGCACTCGGCTCTTTGAACTAGAGCAGAGCATGCGAACCCACCCAGCAAGCTCTTCGGAGACGCTATATAGTCATAAGGCTTGTGCTAACACGATCAAAAGCCTTCTCGACGACTAGCAAGGCGAAATGCACCGACTTTTGTTTCTCACAGTGTTTTTCTAGCGGAACACGAGCAGCGAATATGGCATCAGGGGTGCCGCAGGCAGTCACGAATCCGCATTGGTTCACGGTAAGCTGGACTTTATTACGAATATGACGATCTACAATTCGTTCAAACACCTTCATGCTGTGGGAAAGCAGTTGGGCGGTAGCTCGTGCAATCTGTGGGACTTCCCTTCTCTTCCAAATCGGGATGCCGATCTCTTGCCAACTCTCTGGCACTTTGTTTTCTGCAGCGACCTGGTTGAAGAAGTTTGTCAGTCACTCGGCAGGATTCCAGCAATGCGACCTCCACATGTCGGCCGCCAAGTCGCCGGGACCCGTGGCTTTACCTGATTTCATTTTCTTCGGAACGGTAGCCAAATACATCTGAGAAATGTGGATTCCTTTTCTTTCAATCGCCACCACCTTGATCTTTGCAGGCCCACACTGTTCGGCTTTCATGGTACTTGGAGGGGCAACCTTGTGAAAATCAGTGGTCGATGTTGCGTAGCGACCGACTCGTACGGCACTGTCTTCGCGTCCGTCACTAGCCCTCGATCACGTTACCTGACGAGGAAATCAATTTGAGTTCTGGTGTTAACGTTGTTGAACGTGATGAGGTGTGAGTCACGTTCACGACAGTTTGTCTTCACGATGGTGAGATTGTGCGAGCTTGCATATTCGGGAATTCGCTCACCATCAGCATTTCGTGGCTCATAACCAAACCCACCATGACAACTGTAACCATCTTTCGCAGACCCAGCGTGTCTATTGAGGCCACCTGCGACAATGATAGCGTCCTCCGATGGTACTTCAGCTGTCATCTAACAGGGCCCAGAACTCGTCCTTGGCTCGTTTGGAGCAGCCGGCCTATGGAGCGTATGCAAAAAAAGATGTGGTATCGACGCTGCTCCACAGCGACAACGTCTTCACCAAGCGGTCATCGTGAAGTTTGACATTCGCAATAGAATCGCAGAAACGTTCAGAGACGATCACACCGACACCGCTGGTTGACCTGGGACTGCCACAGAGAACGAATTTAAAGCCGCGGCCAATGTCCCTTGACTAACAGCAGGACACCCTCGTTTCCTGCACGGCACAGAAATCAATTTTTCTTTTCTCCTGTGCTTCTACCAACTGGCACGAGCGACCTGTGAATGTGCCAACATTCAGTCTTGCAACGCGAGCCTTCCATACGTTGCGGGACTTTTGGACTAGCCTAGTTGCCTGAGCCCCCAACCA